GATGCAATAAAAATAGGAATGGTGACAAGAATCTCCTGAAATCATCCTCTCTTGATATAACCTCTACCAAGTCTCTCACATTGATCTGTGCAACTGTGCTTCCATTGGCATCGATTCTTGCACATAATTTTGTGATGTTTCTTACTGAATATGTTTTCTAGGCACTGATTATTCAGTCATGTGGCAGAGAGTCAAATGCCTTTTTGTGGTCAATCATGCCACATTCAGGTTGGTCTTCCTTTTCTTGCAGTTTTCCAAGATCATTTTGTCTATTAGGAGTTGATCCTTTGTTCCTCTGCTATTGGGGCGGTTTCCTTTCTGCTCAGGTGGAAAGAGATTGTCTTCAACTAGATGCTGTTGTACTGCATCAGCTACCACACCAGTTAGTAATTTGAAAGTTGTTGGTAAGCAGGTACTTGGCCTGTAGTTGCCTGGTGTTGCCCCTTTGCTTCGGATTTTTCATTTAGGTAGGGTTTCACCTAGTTGTTAGCCATTTCAATTTCCCTTCCTGTAGTATATTGTTGAACTGCTTGGCAAGGAGGGGGTATATAACAGTTAGAGTTTCAACCAAAACCCATGCAGTTCATCTTCACCTGGTGCTGACCAATTTTTGATTTTCCTTGTTCTTTTTTCTACCATTTTTGTTGTTATTACTAGTTCTTTCATTTCAACTTCTGTTTTATTTGCATCCACCTCTTTTAACCAAGCCACATCCTTGTTGTATTTCTTTGGGTTATCCAATATCTGCTTCCAGAACTGCACTGTTTCTTCCTTGTCAGGTACTGACTGATTCCTTGCAGTTTCTCCATTGATGGATTGGTAGAAACGTTTCTGATTGGATTGAAATTGGAGGTTCTGCCTATACTTTGCAATTCGAGCTTCATATCTACTGATTTTCCTGGCTATAGCTGTTATTTGTTGCTTTATTATTTCCAGTGCTTCCTTGATCTTCCTTTTTTCTAAATGGTATTTCTTGATTAGGTATTCTTTGGTCTTCTTGTTCTTCAGCTTCTTTTCTTTCATCTGTTCTAGCTTGCTTGCATGTGATCTTAACTTGCTGATCTTATTTATTATCTTATTTATTATTATTATTATTATTATTATTATTATTATTATTATTATTATTATTATTATTCCTCAGCCAGTGTGCCTGGCTGAGGAATTCTGGGAATTGAAGTCCACAAGTCATAAAAGGGCCAAGTTTGAAGACCCCTGTGCTAAATCGTCCCTGTGGCCTGATGTAGTTCTTTACTTCTGAAGCAGCAGCTCCCTCTGTCCCTATGAAATTGACACTCAGAATGGTCAATAATTAACACTTGGTTTCAAAGGTATTTTACCTTAGATTGGAATGAAAGACTGGAACCTGGAGAGAGAAGGAAGGATAGATACCAGGCTAAAATCAGATAGATTTAGAGTATGGCCTGGCAGTTAAGAACCAGGACTTAATCAGGATGGAACCTAGCATTGGGTGTAATGAGTTATTTTGTGTTAACCAGCTGACCATCTTTTTTCAGTCTAGCTCTGAATTTACTGTCTTTCACATCCCATTTGTGATTATGTATGCAAATCTGGTGAAAGCAGCAAGATAATGTCTTTGAGCCTATTTAGGTGGCCTCTTGCATGATGAAACTGATTATATTGAGTGGAACCATTAGCATATCTGTTTTTTAAATTTATTATTTATATCTCACTTTTGAGCATCAATAATCCTATGAAATGCCTTGCAAGTAATATATAATGGAACTATAAATATCTGGAATCTCTTAGATTTGTAAATTTAATTTTAAAAAAAGTTTAAACAGAAGGAAAGAGCGTACATGCATATTCTCCTCTTAGGTATTTAAAAACGCTGAAGATAGCTAGGAACAATAGATTAATTGCCTTTAGATTTTGTTCAGTCTCATTTTCTGAACTCATGCTAACTCTGCCTCCTGCTTCTGAGACTTTTGGAGACTGAAGGTTTCTTTGGGTTGAGACATCTTCTCCAATTTCAAATGTTAACCTTGATGTAGAGCAGGGGTGTCAAACTGCTGGCCTGCAGGCCGGATGCATCATGCCAAAACCGCCCCCTCCCCATTGCCGGCAATGGGGAAAAAGTCGTGATACGTCACAACATGTCATGTGACGTCGCGAGTTTGACACCTGTGATGTAGAGGCTCATTGCTTGGCTACAGTGCATAAATGCTGTTACAAATAATCAAAGGCGTTTGTGAGAAATAAAGCAGTGTATGAGGACTAGGTCTTAAATTATTGTTCTAAAATAAAGCATTTAGAAGTTTTCAACTTTTCCAATTTTTTTCCCTTATCTCTGTTCCAGTATAGTACAAACTTTTTTTACAAATGAAAGCGAATATATACGTGTCCCAGGATAATGTTGCAGGATCCAATCTGGGTCGGACACCAGGAGCCAGAGGTTTTGTCCTCTGAGCTTTCGGACTGGCGCTAGAGCAAAACAGAAACCTGTGGTCCCTGTGATCGACCCAAATTGGACCCTGCAAACTTTTTTAGCCTTAGCTACGAAAGCTGGGTGATTTTGGTCATTCCCTCTCTCTCAGCCCACCTCACAGGGTTGTTGTTGTGGGGGAAATAGGAGGAGGAAGATACATTGGATATGTCCGTGCTTTGATGTGTAAAAGTAATAAAGATAGGATAGAATAAATCACTTATTTTGTTTGTGTTTAAGCTGATTGGATTTATTAGCAATACATTCAAAAAGCAGGAGCTCTACATTCAACTGCCATATTTTTCTTAGCCACAGTATGGAAGTGGTATGCCATTGCCACCTTCTAGCTAGGATGTCTTTCCAATTTTTCAGTCTATTTTGCAGGTGTGTCTCCCATTCCAGTACTAACCAGGCTTGGTCTTGGGTAACGTCTAGGCCCAGCCAAGATTTTCAAATTGCTGCCACCTGCTGGTGGACTCTAAAGAGAGAGATTTTTATTGTATGCACATTTAATTGCTCTTTGAAGTTTCTGACTTAGATGACTAGAGCTGGAACATTTACTATTTTTCATTAAATCAGAAGGAATTCAGTACTACCTTTTCTAAATAACCAATTTTATTAAAATGTATAAGGTTTTATGAGCTACAGCTCATAAACTACAGATACTGTGGATAAATATTCACTTGTTTTCTAGAAAAACTACAGGCAACATTCTGGAAAAATGGATGCTTGTTGAAGCCCACCAAAAAATTTAACAAAATCAAAAATATCTTAGATTTATTAGGATTCATTCCAACCTTTATTCTAATTAGCATTCCAACCTTTATTCTAATTAGCATTCTGAGGAGATAGTGGAGTTCAGTGTGTGTAAGTAGCATGTGTCCCTTCACTGTCTTATTAAAGTTAAGATATATAAAAACCTTTCATTGATGAACAAACAAAATCAGGTTTACTTTTAAAAATTTCTTGTTGAGAAACTTTATGAACAAAGCCTGCAAGCAACTACTTTTTTTTTATAAAGATCTGCCCTTCAAACTTCAACTAATGTAATGCATTAGTAATGCATATTACTTCTTGTTTGAAATTAAGATATATAGATGCTTCATTCCAGTATTTAAGCTGTTCTAGTTATCACCTCCAATGGTAGTGAAATTTACAAGGAAAATCTGTTTTAAAATGGTGTAATGCAGCAGTACTTCCTTTTAAGACAATCTCTTTCCTGAGTAATTTAGACATTCTCCTAAAGGTCAATTACAGTAAAAGACATACTGCCTCTGTGTATGTCTAAAGACTTACATGGGAAGTTACATTTGGTAACTGAACACTGATCATAACGGAGAAAACATCTGAGAACATGACCATGTCTGAATTACACAATAGTTTCTGAACTGACTTCTGAATTGAAATAAAAAAGTAGTTGATTTGGCTGAAATTATTTCATTTATTTGTTCTTTATTCTGCTGTGATTCAGTAGTATGAATTGCAGTGCTACATTGAGTGTAAGTTGTGGGAATAAGTTGTAGGAATATCACAGTTTCTCAGTATTCAATTCCACCCAAAGTATTTGACCAGTTCCTTGTTACCAGCGCATTATGCTAGATTATATTGAACTACATGCCACCTGTGGTTCAAGATTGTGTGCAAAATCTGCTTTATAGCAGAAATCATAGGACACTTACTTGGAGGAATCATCATTAGATAGATTTACTTTAGAATAAACATGTGGTTGAAATCTATGGTGTCTTCAAGAATTTGAACTATTGTTTGTTATTTAAATTGACCAGAGAAAAATGTGTTAAACATTTATAGAAAACATTTCTGTGATATAACAAAATTTAAGTTTCCATAGACTGAATTTCAGGCTTCAAAAATCCAAGAAATATAAAATATAGTGAAATATAAAAATATAAAATAATGTTTTGTAATCTGTGTCATTAATTCTAAAGGCTTAGTTCAGTCTTCATCTTATGGTGTGATGGGGTTACGTATCATATTTGGCTGTAGAAGGCTGCATCGGGTTTCTTATATCTGATGTGTTTCTGATTTCTGTATGGCAACCATTCTGTAATATCCACCTCCTTCTGATTGCTCAGATGTGTATCTGTGAAAAAAAAATTCTAAATTATAGCCATTTTCCAGTGGGTAAAATGCTTTTGGATGGGATGAACAGTTAACTTGTTAACTTATTTTGTTTATTGAATTATTGTTATTGCTCCCTGTTCTTTTCCTCCTCTTCCTCCTCATACGACACTATTGACCAAAGAACAAATTTACTTTTTTAGTTTTGTAACTTACCTAAATTTCTGCTGGAATCTTATACACAATTTATAATATTATTATAACTGACTAAGGAGAAATTATCAGATATTATCACCATAATGTTTAACAAACTATTATTAAAAGATAGCCATAAATGTTGGACCCAAAATTAACAATTTTAAAGAGGGAGAGCCTGTACCTAACAGACATGGGGAACTGAACTAATTGTGTACTGTAGATAAGAAGCATAAAATGATTGATGCATAATAATAATTTTCTTCTGTGTTTCATTATCCAGGGAAGAATCTCAAGATTTGTTGATGGATTTCATATGGAATATCATTTAATGTGCTGAGATAAATAGAAGAACAGGCCACATACCTTTCTGCTGCTTTTTATATTTCAGGTTCATATACTAAGGTAGATCATTGCTCCAATTAGTTATACAATTAAATCACTTTAAAATAAATCAGAACTGATGTTGTGTTTGCCTCTATTGAACTAATTACAATGTTTTTAAAGCTAGTTTTTCTAAAATAAAACCATTTGATTTAGATATATTCTGTACATCTAGGAGAAGAGATGGAGGTTGAAGAGTGCTGAAACCATCAACAGCCTGAAAAAAAATCATTTCCTTTTCTTATTTCATCTTGAGGGAAATCAACAACATATTGTATAAATAAATAGCAGAAAAAATTTTGGTTCCCTGGTATATGATAGCAGCTATACTGCTGAGCCCCAAAGGTTAGAAACTTACCTATGATTGCATAAGGCAATTAGCCTAGATGTCTGGTTGCAGAATTCTGGAACTTTTAAAGTTTTGTAGTCTTGAATTCTGTTGTTTTTTCCTAAAATTTATAGTAATTAGTTTCTGTCCTCAGTCTGGTTGTTGGTTAGAAAAAATACGATAACCCTAGTTGTTACTAGATTGATTATAAGGCAGAAACCTGGATGTAGAGTTGGTTTCATGAAATCCAAGAATTTTTAGATCCATTCTAGTTTCATAATTCTGAGCATCTCATTTCTCAGTAGCAGTTGTGAAGGAGCAAAATACATAGCATAGCATTGATGAGTAGCTGAAAAAAAAAATACAGACCTTCTGCTTAGGAGTTGTGTTCCTGAGGCTGTTTATAAGTTCATTTTAATTGCAAGTCCAACAAGCATAAAAACGTGCAGTACAGTTGTTATCTCACAGCATGTAATGGATCTGTTAATAGCATACTGGTGGAAGTTGGGAGACGGTAGGAAAGGAAGTTGGGAGAAGGCAGGAAAGGTTAGTTTCTTCCATGCCACTTACATAAACACCATGCTGCAAACCTTTTCCTGCCTTCTTCCAAATTCCAGGATCTTCTAGTTTTGGTTACAGACTGGTTGTTCATATCAGCAAAAGCTTGCAACTCGAAAGTTCATAAGTCAATCCCCTGCCTTTCTCCCTCTTCCCCCCCCCCCCAGATTGGAACTGGTCAAGGTGAATGCAGCCATATGGGTTTACAAATAAATGTTTCTTGTAACTTACCAGGTGTACATTCTGAAGATTATTTCATGTTGATGAACTATGCATTAGCTTCCTTTAATCATCTTACCATTCTGAGATGAGAACTAGGCAAATGGGATGGGGGCTTTACAAAGATGGGATCGAATGGCCTAGAGATTTATGTTGGACCAAGCTCACTGATCTTGATGGGCCTTATTTTTCAATTGCCATTTCTAGGTTAGATGTTAGATTTGTTCTGTCTAATGTATGCCAGCTTTGTGATTGAATTCTGTTGAATTGAAGTGCCTTATCTGGTGGTAGCACCTATCAAATCTTGGTTTATCTGAAAATCTAAATAGTAAAGGCCTTAGATGGCACTTTGTTGAAGGAATTCCAGGGCGGTTGGCTAGACTGAGAAGTTGAAAATTTCCTGGAAGAAAATAATAATAAAAATGATTTTTGCTTTTAAAAAACTATATAAATGCAGTCACCAAGAATTCATCAGGAATTATTCTTAGAGTCAGAATTGCAGAGGCTGTTTAAGGTACTATTTTATTAGGGGAAAAAAATTCAAAAAACCAGAAAAAATAATTCTAGTTACCATTTTCTCTGTAGCTTTGTGTAATCAGGAACTCTCAAAAGAAAATCTGTTACTGAATATTTTTTCTTTCTGAATAAGTGAATCATTTTTTAAAAACAAGGTTTTACTCAAAATGCTGAATGAAAAATTTTATGTAACAGTCAGAGCATTCTGGTAGAATATTGAAGTTCAGGGTTATTATCACATAATATTTAATAATTTTAGTAATTCTTAACTGAATGAATTTGTACTACTAAAGTTGTGTTTTCTAGTCAAAATCTCTTTGCAGATAGCAAAAATTAAAACACATATGCCAAGATAGCATACTTTCAAGTCGTATTGCATAAATTCATGATTTATGTTTGCAGCTCTTTGGAAGACTTTCTTAATATTGCATAAATGTATGACATTTTCTGTATGAATTAAAGCCTCTGTAGGTAGAGACTGAAGTTATCATAGAAAATGAACCTTAATTTTGACTAAAGCCATCTTGAGAAGATACAAAACCTGCTAAGCATAAATAAAATTGTTAAGGAAAATTCTTAATGAATTTTGGGTCTCATTTTGAGAGCTTTTTTGGGGAGGAAAGGTAAATCACTTAGATATGCTAGGTAGTTCAGTGTTATATGCTGTGAATGAATTAATGAACATCTTTAATGCAGTCAAAACTTAATACTCAGCAATGTGGAATAAATTACATATGTGTGGAAAGGTGCAAATCATAATATTATCTGGATACACCAGCCAGTTGACTGCAAATTTTATATATAATGAAAAAGAATTTAGCTACACTTAGTGTGATGGATTTATGTACATACCTGTGAATAAAAACTGTAAAAAAATGACCAAAGCTGTATGTTGTTATAAATGAGACATATGTGTATTTTTTTCCCCATAATTCCATTGTTTTATTTTGAAAAAGGAAATAATCATTGCACCCAAAGGCCAACTTCAACAAATGTGTCATCATTACATCTGATGCAACACTGACCCAAATCCTAATATTTTTTTTTGAAAAGTAAAATATATACAACATATAGAAAAAAGGCATATCAATTGTATATTGTTCACCACTTCATTGTTCAAACAAACCACATGTTAGATATTTGGAGAGTGATTTCTATATGAGGGACATAGCAGCTTCCTGCTGAATTAGCATAAAATTTCCGCAGTGCCCTTGCCCCATTCCAGTATAGCAGGTGGTTTTTAATGCTTGCAGACTCAAATTATAACATAAGATTTAGAATTCTGAGCTGCAAGACTTTTTTTTTTTAGTGTTGACAATTTGGTTAGAGGAGTACAGTGAATACTTTTTGTTTGGACTCCATCCCATTTAATGGACCAATGTACATTGCATTAAGATTTGTCCATTAAATCAAGATTTTACTGCCCAGATGCTTCCATTTATGATAATTATATAATTATGCAAATTATATAAATTGGCAGAAACACTATATACTTGCATTTAACATTCTTCCTCCTCAAATGGCTGAAATCTCAGGATTTTACTATACTCAAATCTCGTCCACAAGTAAATAATGTTTGATCTTCAGCCTAAATAAAACTGAAGCCTAAGTGCTTAAGTAACCAAATGGACAATCAAAACTTCAGAAGCTGTTCTAAACAGTTGTCTGGACAGGGGCTTATTTCTGCTCAGTCAGTTAATATTGTCCTTTATTTTTGTGACACAGTCCATGGAGTGGGTAGTCCTTCCTCCTCCAGTAGTGAATTTGCTGGACTTTTCAATACTTTGAAACATTGTGGAAACATCCATACCTATCAGTAAGGATGGCCAAAAAAGTTTTTGTTACATTCTTGTATCCTCCAGCTGCTTTGAATGTACATGCTTTGAATGATCAGATAAACATGGTCAGATGCCTCTAAAGCAGTGGTTCTCAACCTGTGGGTCGGGACCCCATTTGGGGTCGAACGACCATTTCACGGGTGTCGCCAAACAATGCAGTCCACCATTTTTTTCCCCTTTTCCTTAGCTGTGCTACTCCCTTTTATTCTATTGGCTTTTGAAAGCCAATAGAATAGACTCTCTTGAATAGAGTCTAATTCTATGGGCTTTCAAAAGCCAATAGGAATTGTCCAGGCTGTCTCTGCCCTGCTGAGCCCGGCAAAAGTCCCATTCTGCAAACGGTGCTGCACCAGTTGAGTAGTCCTAGACTTACGACCGGTTGAGTAGTCCTCGACTTATGACCGGTTGGGGGTTGCGCCATTAAAAAGGTTGAAAACCACTGCTCTAAAGTTAGTAAGTTAATGGTAAATTTTTCCATGCTAAAGCTTACCATTTACCTAAATGGCAAATTCTATTAATACTATTTGTGGTGAGGCACACTTAAGTAGCTAAATCATTATGGATATGGTTGCTTTTCAGACGTGTCTCTGCCCATGAACATTTGGTGCAGAGCCACATTGAGGACCTACATCATTTCAAATAAAATTCTCACTATAGTTGTTTATTATATTATAAAATTGTTCCTATTTCTACTTTGACTTTTGATGAGATTTAGCCATGCCTCTAATAAAGCAGGAGTTATTCACTAAGTAGATTTACAAAAAGAATCTACTTGTTGTAGAGCTTGTCTGCTGATGGAGGTCACGATAGAGTAGTTTTGGAGCTGGGTGGCCTTAACAAATCCAATAAATAAAAGGCAAACACATCCGTATTGCTACTCTACATATGCCACTGTGTAGAGTATTGATGGAGAAAGCTACCAGCATGGCTGCATATCTAATGGAGTAGACAACAGTAGCAGATTTGGTTTCATAGCAATGGGCTGTGCAAGCTTTGATTTGCTTGTATTGCCAGTACTGTTCCTATTGGATTGTTGGTACTGTTCTGCTTTCTTATTAGAGAGCCCTTTGTAACTTTTCTGCAATTAAGGCCTACATCTTTATTCACTGTGTGTGCCTAAAATATGCCCATATGTGACATCTGATTAGATCCTTGATCTTCATCCATAACCATAAAGTTGGTGCTTTCTTTGGAAATATTATCTGTTTTATCATAGACCATATAATCAGAGATAGATATACTTGTTATTGTCTCATAAGTTAAATAATTATGGTTCTTTGAGTAGACATTCTTACATCACAGAATTTTCTCTTGTACTGCATCTAGAGTGGCTTTTTTTTTCTGAAAAAAAAATATAGCAATCTTTATATTAGAATGGAGGATTTAAGTATGGTTTTTCAAAAGTATTCAACTTGAGAACAATCCACAGTGTTGGGTCAAGTAATTGACCACTTGAAGAAGTGATTCCTATTCTCATCCTTCTAGCATTACTGCAATGGCAAAATAGTCCCGATACGTCTTGCGATGTAGGCAGACTATTCCCTCCCTCCCTCCCTCCCTCCCTCCCTCCCTCCCTCCCTCCCTCCCTTCTTTCTTTCTTTCTTTCTTTCTTTCTTTCTTTCTTTCCCTTTGTGTATTAAGTATTTGGCAGAATGTACCAAGAGGTCCTACATGGTTAGAATGCACTATTGCAGGCTATCTCTCCCACTGCCAGGAGTTTGATCATGAATGACTCAAGATTGACTTAGCCTTCCTTCCTTCTGAGGTTGATAAAATGAACGCCCAGATTATTGGGGGCAATATGCTGACATTTGTGAACCATTCCGAGAGTGTTATAAAACATGTGGAATGATATATAAGTCTAAGTGCTAGACTTAGGAACTGAATATATAGGATTATTAGAAGTGGAATTTTTTTATGCAAATTTTCTCTCAACATGTTCTTTATCCTCTTGTGTGCAGATTGAAGGGATGTAGATGTTTCTTGTGGACTTAGTAAATTTGAGTCCATATCAGTGGTAGGAAAGATAAATCTTGGAAATAATTGAGGGGAAGTATACAGTGACAGAGAGAATGCTTAACTTGAGAAAGGAAGACTAGAATCAAATTCTGACTTTGTTATTTTTTGCTTTATGGCTTTAGGGCTTTGTCTCTGTCCTGAAACTTAACTTAGAAGATTCTTGAAGACATTGAGGATATATCAAAACCATCTAATTCTGTAGGATTAAATGGGAAGTAAAATATTCACCACTTGCCAGAGAAAATTATGGTTAGTTCTTCTTATAGCTCACAGATATAGGTATTTAGGGATGAATTGGTATTGTTGTAAGAATTACTTAAACGTACTGTCCTACATTTTAAGAACTGCATCTTAATGTATATTGCTATGTTTTGAAGGAATCTAACATAAGTCCTTGGGAAAACTATAATTTCTTCAAGAATCCATTCTAATTTTTTGTTCTTTACTGTGATCACAAAGGGTTTGTGCTGAAACCTCTGGAATTTACAAGATTCTTTGATGGGAGAACATAGACATAGCTTATTCCCCAAATACTGCAATTCCTGAAATGATTTAACAGGTCCAAAGAAACAGTTAAGTCACCAGAGACCAAATGAGATAGGAAAGCTATTCCCAACTACTAATGTTAGAGTCCTTCAAAACATAGCAATATACAGTGAAGTATGTTAAATGTAACACCTTCCTACTAGAAGGCCCTGATAGATTCATTCTTGAGCCTATAGTAAAAAGAAGAACCTTGATATCTTTGTTAGTCACATTTGTACAATTTGGACTTCGGGATGGAAACTGAAATTACTTTGGGCCATACGTTGTGAGATTTATGAGTGCTGGATCCTGGATGCTCCATACTTTCCTCTCACAAATGAAGTGCCCATGAAGATTAAATGAAATCTCTGTGGAAAGGGAGCTAGTGGTGCTGTTATCCTGGTTTTTCAGTTTTCATGCCTGACAAGCTGGACTAGCCAAGGCATAATTTTATGTTTGCCATTTATTATATCTGTCTTCCAAGATTTTTGCATATGCTAAAAAATTGGTAGCAGGAACATTGTATCACACTGCAATATGACTTGGCAGAAGGAGAAAGTGTTTTGCATTGCTTCTTTAAAGTTCAACAACATACCACAAGAAACAGATCTCAACCACCAAGTGCATACAGTGCTATGGATATGGCGATGATAACACTAATTTGAGTAAGAAAATTTATTGGAAAACTCACATCTCTATGTTTCACCTTTGGATTTGTGACTATTCCTTTTCATAATGTGGCAGTATCACAGTTACAGAAAGTGAAAAGTTACTGTAGTTGACAATGAGAATCTGCCATTGTGCCTTGGCTATGAGATCTCCTGTTGCAGAACATTTAAATCTGTTTTGCTTTCAATCCCATTCAAAAATATGGCAACCTTTTACTGTTTACAACTGCTTTAGGGCCTTCTGAGAAGAAATGAAAGAAAGCAGGACAGAATTTTACCTTCAAAATTGCATTATCTTAGTTACCACTTCATCTGGAATACCAGTTTCTCAAGTAGCTAGAAAGATAAATTAACTTTCAAGAGATTTTTTTTGCATAGGTTCTATTTGTGGCTTCATAGTATGGATTATTTGCATATAATAGAAATAAAGCTGACTATCTCAGACTGAGATCTAAGATGTACTGAAGTCTTCCCTGGGTTAGTTGGCCTTTTGACTTTAACCTTTGCCGAATTCTTTTCCCATTATAGCCTCTAAAAAAAACCTGTTACCTTGCATCCTCCTTGCAAACTCATTGCTGCCTGAATGAATGTCTTAACTGCAAGTCTGACTTCTTGTTCAAAGACATAAACTGGACATTATGAAAATCTGAAACATTATTGCATATTTTCTCTCCCATAGATCCCATGCTGCAGCCTGAAAGCCTGCCACCTAGGCAGGGTTTCACAGTACATTGCTTTTATTTGAGAGTGAAAACTCAGGTTATTTGTGACATTTATATTTAGAAGGAGAGAATATGTTATTAGGAACTTTTGCACACATTGCACACAATCTTCAGTACCTTAAGATTACATTCTTGCCTATTGTACATTTTCATTCCAATTTTGTTTTTCTTGAATAAATATCAAATATCTCATCTCTCTTACCATAGAACACAATAGGTCCAGTGCAGTAAGAGTACTTGTTCAACTAACTCGGTCTTGTCTACCCATAGCTACTCTCAGGCAGGAGTTTTTCCCAGACTTATGCAGAAAGGCTGGAATTGGACTTGCACACAGATTCTTTTCTGCTCAGGTATAAAAATTATTTGTCATTTTAAAAATAAATGGGCAATAATAAACAGCAAATTAACAATTGCATTTTAATCCAACACTTGTTTCCCAATTTAGAATTTATGTTTTTAAAAATAGAAGCTGGCTTCTTCCTAAATTAATACGAAATGGCCGGTTCGTAACTATCCCTGTTGGTCACATCAAGGACAATGCTTGTAGGAGAAATAATTTTTTGAATACCCTTAAAGGAAGGGAAGTTTGCAAATAAAGCCAAGAAGTTTGCAAATAAAGAACTGAATTAGTTTCTTGTTTCTCATGTATTATACTGTTGCAGTCTGCTACCTATATTTACAAGCAGTGTAAGATCACGGGGTAAGTCATCCAATGAAGGTCTGTAAGATCTAGATCAATAAAGCAAATCGCATGGAAATATCTGTTCTGAATGTGCATGTGATGCGTCCTTGACTTTATTATAAGGGAAATTTTAAGTGAACACTAATACAGAAGCTATTTGTTTTAGCAGATACTAACTCTTTGCTAATTTCTCTCCTCTCTCCTCTCTGTTTTTTTTTTCCTTTATTTTCAGAGCTACGTGTGATATATGAAACCTGCAGGAGATGTTGTAATGACTGTGAAATTGCACTGAGGACAGATCTTGCTCCTTCCATTTTTTTTTTGTGATTACTACTCTTAGTATTGTGGTGATTGATTATTTTCTACAGTAAGTGAGCTTGTTGCTTTGTCTGGTTCCTTTGTTTAAAAAAAAAGAGAGAAAGAAAGATGTCTGATCCTGATGCCCATCAAGATGCTGGTATCAAGCCAGGCTTGTTGGAAAAAAGCAACAATTCTGGTGATTCTCAGCCCTCAATCAATTTGGAAAGAAGGAACAAAAGTGGGATAATTAGTGAACCATTGAACAAAAGTCTTAAGAAGTCTCGACCACTGTCCCATTACTCTGCTTTTGGTAGCAGCAGCTCATTAAGTGAACATTCAGAGAAATGTGTCCCTATGGCCAACAGCAGTGAGGCAATCGTGGAGAAAAGCAATTCTACCTCAAAGCACAAAACCATCTCTGACATGTTGAGCAAATCAGATATTTCTTTGGAAGGACAGAACATCTTGCAACAGTTTGCTCAGTCCACAGAGTTGCTCAAAAGAGTAGTCCAGGAGCACATCCCCCTGCCTAATGACCACGGGACGGGCATCTCAGACATGGAAGCTGTCTCAGCTGCTGAAACAATGAACAACCCATCTGATTTTCCTTACCTGGGGGCTTTTCCCATCAACCCTGGCCTTTTCATTATGACCCCTGCTGGTGTATTTTTGGCAGAAAGTGCACTCCATATGGCTGGCTTAGCAGAGTACCCAATGCAGAATGAATTGGCATCTGCCATCAATTCAGGGAAAAAGAAACGAAAACGATGTGGCATGTGCCCTCCTTGCAGAAGACGAATAAACTGTGAGCAGTGCAGCAGTTGTAGGAACCGTAAAACTGGACATCAGATTTGCAAATTCCGAAAATGTGAAGAACTTAAAAAGAAGCCTTCTGCTGCACTGGAGGTAATTGCCTTTGCTGACACAGTTTAATAATTCCTTCTCAACTATCCTTTGTGGAATCAAATTATGAGGACTGGATGTGGAAATGTCAGAAGTTTGAATCCATTAGCAGTTTCTACCTTTCTATTTTATGTAGCCCAGTCTTTTCACAGATATACATCCACACAGTTATTTATAATATTTAGAAGAGAGAGTGTTTTGCACTACTTTCTTTCATGAGATACAATGAGCTAGAACCTCATAGCAAGTTAAGCAGCTGATGTGGCAGTCATGGACTCCTCCATCTCAGACTGCATGCCTGGCTTCAGATTGATGAGTATTTTTCCAAGGAAAGATAATAAGTGGAAGAAATTCCTCTATATATTAAAGAAAGAGGATCTATTCTGTCTTCCCAGGATACATTTCTTGTTTAATACTATAGTGCAGAGGTCCCCAATCTTTTGGGCACCAGGGACCGGTTACGTGGAGAGAGAGTTTTCTGCGGACCGGAGGGGGGCGTGGTTTTGTGTGCTGCCTGCATCTTGGCGGATGGGGCTTTGCTTGTTTGTGTGGCCCGCTTGCTGGCATGCCGCGGACCGGTACCAATCCACAGACCGGAGGTTGGGGACCCCTGCTATAGTGCTTTTGAGTATTCACAATATTTTACATGTGTTACTTTGATTTAAATATTTCAGCAATGGTGTAAAGAAAGCTTATATTAGAAGAAGGGCCAAGGATAGAAGAAGGTATAGGTATAGCTTACTACTTTTACACTGGTAAAACACAGGTAGTCCTTGACTTATGACCACAACCGAGCCCTAAATTTATGTGAGTTTTGTGAGTTAAGTAGGTTTTGCTCACTTTACGTTACCTTTCTTGCCACAGTTGTTAAATGAATCATTGCAGTTGCTAAGTTAAGAACATGGTTAAGTGAATCTGGCTTCACTCTTTTTTTTTTTTTTTTTGTCAGAAGGTTGCAAAATGTGATCACGTGCCCCCGGGACACTGTAACTATCATAAATATGAATTGGTTACCAAGCATCCAAATTTTGGTCACATGGCCATCGGGATGCTGTAATGGTTGTAAGTGTGAAAAAATGGTCATAAGTCACTTTTTTAGTGCTGTTGTCACTAAACAAATTGTTGTAAGTTGAAGACTATATTTGCATTTAGAGTCTGTAGCTTAGGGGGTGCAGCTGTGTATTCAAGCTTCTTTGAGCTAGAAGTGGATATGTGAGGATGTGGGGTTTTTCCCTCTTCCTGGAAGATGTTAAGTGATGTAAAGATTTACCACCTTGTACTGTTTATGAGGAAGTTGTTAATATGCATGCCACTTCTCAAGATGTGATCAGCCATTAATCCATATTAGTTTCAAACAAATGAAGCTTAATATTAGCCTGCCTTCCTTCCTTCCTTCCTTCCTTCCTTCCTTCCTTCCTTCCTTCCTTCCTTCCTTCCTTCCTTCCTTCCTTCCTTCCTTCCTTCCTTCCTTCTTTCTATTGAGGCATAGTACTCTTTATTTAGCCCAGTACTGCTTTTTGCTAGTAAACATCTCTTCAAAGTCCCAAAGGTCTTGATTTGCCCTGCTATGCAAGATTCTTATAACTGGAAACACAAGAAGCTAAGATTAACACATATGTCTATATTCTAGAACGCTCCAATATATTTCTTAAGACTCAAGATACTTCCTAAACTCTTTGGAAAATATCCTATTCCTAGAAAGTTAACTTGTTATAAAGATTACTTCATTCATTCATTCATTTTATTTCATCAAACCTTTGGGACTGTTTCTTTCAGATGTTTATCTGTCTGAATTTTGCCCAGTAGCTGACAATTTTGAAAGTCCATGCCCAGAAACTTTATTAAACTTTTCTTGTCAACAGAATTTGATTTAGTAAAACTCATAATGTTTGCCTAAGCATAGAGCTCCAAATCTTTGTAATTTGAAAGAATGAGTGCTAAATACAGTAAACATGAGCTCTCAGATGAAAGAATAAAGATTAGGCAATAAGGATTAGGATTATAATTGAGATACAAGACATAATAATAAAGACATAAATAATCCCAGCATGTGAAAATCCAGTAATGTTTAGATTTCACTTTGCTAATCTGCAAGCAAAGAAAAACGTGTATACACTAGTTCATTTCTCAAGCTGCATTGATGATTTCAAAGATAAATTTATTTGAGTTGGGGGAGCAACTTAATTAAACAGTTTACTTCCATTTTACTTGAAAATGTACATAAATCAATTTTGATAGGCAATAACATTGTGGCTTCTTCTGCATAGTTGCAAAAAGACAATGGCAGATCACTTCCATGCTATTATGAAGAAACCTGCATGGATATGATCAGCAATTCAGCAGGAGCTGAACTTGATTCAAATGAGTTGTTTGAAAAAAGCAAATTAGAATGTATGCACCAAAGCCATGATGGTGCATCTTCTGCAAGAAAAAAAAATCAGATGCAGTTTGGAGCTTGGATAATGCCAGTTTTGAATAGAGAAGAGAAAGCAAAAGACCTCAGGCGATTATTTCTCTAAACTGAATTTCACCAATTGAGGCTACTTCTTCATAGTGGAAGTGAGCATCGGTATTCTCATGTGACATGCAGTTTTGTTAAATCTGTTGCATATAAACAATGCAGGTTTGATTTATTATTGGGTGCATTGCTGATTCCTGAATTACAGAGTTGTCGGGTTGCATCCAAAGCCCATCCATTAAAAGGCCAATTTCAAATGAGGTACATCTCCCCATCACTTTCAGGAGTTCCAGGTGAGGAAAATAGGAGTCAGCTCCTTTATCAACTTTCCCTATTAAATCCAGAATGAATTAATTTAGGATTAAGTCTATGTAAGTAAACTTTGAGGTGTGGGGAGGGACAGATGTAAGTGTTACCTAGATGTGTTTGCTGAAATATTTGGTGTTGCAAGAGAACATGATTGAAGGTCAGGATGCTGGGGATGGTTGTGGGCTACAAGAATATCTTTCTTGTCTTTCTATCCGCCACTGTGCCAATTTCTTGAATTTGTCTGGTGCCCTGCATGCAGGACAGATGATAACTTTCCCTATTTGTGCTACAATTTTGGACTGGTTGAGAACTCCCAGGTTGATGGATTTGTTAGATGTACACTGAGGCCATTTTATCTCCTGTAGTTGATACAGTGGCCAATTAGGTATCTGTATGCTGCCATCCCCAAAAGTAATGGCAGTCTAAATTTGATTTTACTTGAATGAATAGGAAGAGCATCCAAAAGAGAACACTGTTAACACTTAAAAATGTACAACATATCACGATTTGTTGAGGTTTACTTTCTCTGTGGCATTCTCCTGTAAAAGTAGGGATTCAAGAGTTGTCGTCCTGAAGGCAAATAGATCTTAATGAGTCTGGAAGGATTGTAGGGAGAGGTTGGGGAATTATCATATTGGACTGTTTGATAGTCCTGTTGAAACCCTGGTCAAACAGTGGAATGTTATTTGTTAAAGTATATTGAGATTAATTCATTGAGGTACTTTTTTCCTTTTTTTAGAGCCAAACCAGGGTTCAGGATAATGAAGTTGGTATCATAATTAAAAAAGTCAGTGGAAGAAAACTCAATTCAATTAAAAATTATCCAAAACTCATTATTAAGTAGCAAGAGCTATTCAACAAATATTATGAAAATTCAATAACATCTCATGGCATCTCCCAATTTTGCTTAACCATAGTGAGGGAGTAGATATCCTGAATGGGTTCCTAAGCATTACAATAGTTTGGATAAAGAAAGGCCTGTGTGAGAACAAGCAGAGAGCTTGAGATCAGATTAGACAAGTGGAACCCATACCTCCTGTCCAAAAGGGAATGGCTTCTAGCCTGTTATGCTACGTGGAGAGTTGCAAAATTTAAACCCTGATTTTATTTTAAAGAGAGCTGTACAGGATGGATAGCAGTCTCTGGAATTCTTTTGCAGTGTGCTTCATTAACTTAGAATAAATCTACTTACTGGAATTTGATGTCCTTGGAAGTTTGGTCCTTCAGTTTTTTGACTGGCTGACTGAAAGCGATTTGATGGCCAGTATGTTAAAATGTAGCCTAGATAAGATGGAGATACCATGAGATGGAGATGGGTTGTCTATCCAAGTGAATGATATTCAATCTGGGATGCACTTTCCCTGAAATTTCAGTTACACTGTTTGGGACTATTCTCATCATTGCCATTGGAGTTTCTCTGAGTGGCTAAATGGTGTATTACCAGCTAATCAGTCCTAAATGTACAAATGTCTGGAATCAGATGTATATTATACCTTAATCACTCAGATTACTCCTATTGTTCTAATTAGAGTTATTATTTGAATATTCAGGTAATCCAGAATTGTACTTCTACTGCAGTAATTGGGATCGATCAACAGAATATTGAGGTATCAGGTATATTGGTTTGTAGACCATTTCTAGACCAAACTCAGGATACTAATGCTGTCCTTTTAAACCTTTAAACCTTTCTCTATCTGAGACCAGCCATCTGTCCTTCATCTAGGACAGTGGTTCTCAACATTTTTAATGCCGCGACCCCCAACCGGTCGTAAGTCAAGGATTACTCAACCGGTCGTAAGTCGAGGACTACTCAACTGGTGCAGCACCGTTTGCAGAATGGGACTTTTGGCGGGCTCAGCAGGGCAGAGACAGCCTGGACAATTCCTATTGGCTTTTGAAAGCCAATAGAATTAGATTCTATTCAAGAGAGTCTATTCTATTGGCTTTCAAAAGCCAATAGAATAAAAGGGAGTAGCACAGCTAAGGAAAAGGGAAAAAAATAGCGGACTGCATTTTTTGGCGACCCCTGTGAAATGGTCATTCGACCCCAAATGGGGTCCGACCCACAGGTTGAGAACCACTGATCTAGGACAATGGCCCCCAACTTTTTGGGCACCAGGGACTGGTTTCATGGAGGGAGGTTTTTCCGTGGACCAGGGGGCATGGTTTGCCCACGTCCTGGATACCATATGTGTGGGGGGATGGGGCTTTGCTCACTTATTCGGTTTGATTCCTG